CTCATCAAAATAGTGGTCCCTTCCTCTTCCCAGGCCAGGGGGGGTCGCACGCTGATTCCAAGGGGGGTCGTGAATGGTCGCTCGAGGAGGGTCATATTTTGCTGCAAGAAAAACTTTTGATTCATATCGTCGAGTTTCCCCGTTCCACAGATTCTATTATATATACCTCCGTTCCTCTTGTTCACAGTACGGTAAAAAAACATTTCTGAAAGTTAATGCAGAGGTGCTGACCCCCCCCCCACTTCCGCTCACAACAAAATTTTAGAAGTTAGGTAAAGCCATAGAGGAGAGAAAATTGGTGGAGGGGGTCGTATTCCACGAAAATTTCCCCCAACGCCAAGAGTGGTCTGCTTCGGGTTCACTCTCAGAAGAGCGTACACGACCAGAGTTCACGCGACCTCGTTGTACCGCGCCTTCCCTTACTACAGCAGCGCCCAGGTTGTTTCAGTTTTTGTGACATGGACGGAAGATATGAAGAAAAACAAAAAATTTTTTTCAGGTGAATCTTACTCGACCTCTCGAAGATACCAAGGCAGAAGATTCCGATGAGAATATTCGAAAAGCACTTGCCGCTGGAGGCTACTGATAAACGACGCTCCGAAATCCCGGCGTACATAATGACGCTTCAGATTCCAATATTTGAAAAGAATTCAAGTATTACTTCAAATTTTCTAGCTAGAGATGCGAAGCAAGCCTACTCCATTATATCTCTTTTATTCCACATTACCAATAGAAACTTAGAGCAACTATGCTAACAAAGTAAATTGGAGTAATTAAGACAAAAACCCATAATTTAGTCAATCCACTGAGATCATTTATCATTGCTATCTTGGGAATGGGTAACGTTCTTGAATTTGTTGTTTACCCCTCACATACCAAGATGATAGTTGTGCTCAGGGTACATGATCGTTGTGTGAAACACATAGGGGAGGTCGTAATTTTTCGCTAGGGAAGGGGGGGGGTCGTTTTTTGGGAGAGGGGGTCGTACGGTCTTTGAGAGGAATTTGCCGCGTTGGGAAAAAATTTTTCCCGGTTGTTGACTTTTCGCATGATTTTTCCTGTTTCATGTGTACTATATACTCCTTCCCCCATCCCCTCTCCGCCACATTGGCTGGTTCATTAGTCCCTCCCCCCCCCGTGACGGAGAACAAAATATTTTGGCGTTTGTGAACAAACGAAAATGATCGGGAACTTGGCCAAGTAGGTGTGCGGAAGGGGAGGGCCGGTACAGGACCTATATAGGGGGGGGGTAGTCCTACACCGCCATTCCAAATAACGATGCTTTCCCTGCGTTGTGCTATGCTATCATCCCATATATATTTATAATTTCTGATCACAAAAAAGCCTCCGAAAAAGCGTATCTAGACATAATTCTCACAGTTTTCACACAAGTTGATTAGCCTAATTGATGGCAGCACTTATGGTTTCTTACCCGTCATTTGCTAACGCGCGAAACTGTGCCTTTGGAGAGAGCAACATTCCCCCAAACTTCGAAGCCGAATCAAACACATCCGAAACGGAAAGAAATCTTTTATTAATTCATAAAAGCGTTACAAAAATTATATACGTACTATTATATATGTAGCATATAGCATATCATAGAAGACTAGAGGAATCAAACGCTTGGCGTCTCTGCATTTGGTAAATTGGCGACTATCAGCTGCACTAGAGATCTATAGGATGTTGAAGTGCTTTTGTGCTAACCATTGAATGAAAAGTAGAATGAAAAGCGAAAGAAACAGGAAATTCGTCAATCACAAAATGGTCAAAAAAGGACTATTAGCTCTATGACAGCTCCTTAGTCATTTACTCCTTCAGAAGGTGGAACGGCCTCTTTGGGGCTACACGCTTCTCCACCGCATCTAAATGGAAACTCATGAATGAGTACAGAGGCAATAAGTGGAAAGAATGTCAAAGTGTGCTTGTGTAACTGGTTCACTTACACTCCTCGAAGCCCACTTAATGAAATAAGATAGCTTCAATCAGAACGTACTGAGGATAACACCGGGGCTCACAAGTACAAGTCTCCTTCGTCTCTAGCGCGTCGTCCTCGCTTAAACCATATCGAGGAGGACGCATAAATGAGGGAGCTTACATAGTTGTGCAGCTTCCGCCCACTTGGCCTTATCGGCGGCGATGTATCCTCGGACATTAAAAGATTTTATACAAGGAAAAGTCTTACCTCGAACATAGACCTCTTTCTTCATAGCGCAGAATCGACATCGCTTCGTCATAAATCTTCGAATCAGGGAACTCCACCTGCAATAAATCCACCACTGAATTATCTCTTGTAACCCCCTTCCTGGGCAGCTACAAAATACTTCAATAAAATGAACATCTATGGTTCTCTGCTAGTAAAGCCTAGTGCATGCTGAGCGATGCGGGCGTCGGAGAAGACGAGGTCGGGGTGACAGCGGGCAGGCCTGTTTCGTTTTCTTTTGTTTTTTTTTCGGCAAGCGACGAGACTGCATCATACCGTTTGTATCAGTCGTTTTCCACCAACGATTGTCGTTTACCCGCTTCAACAGCTGGTGGAGGAGGGGGGGGGGGGGCGGGCTGGGGACAGCTGCCAACCTAGCCTCACTGTAGACGGCCCATCATCCGCCACAGAACGTGGTTATGCGTTCGAAGCGGTAGTTTCTAACATAGGTAGTGAGTTAATCTGAACCCCATGAGACAGCTTGGCGAAAGATGGCCTGACTTTCTGAATTGGCACGGCTTCTATACCCAAACCATTCGCTTTAGTCTTTCCAACAAGTCCATGCTCCAGTGGATTAGAAACAAATCTTCTGTTCATGGACAATCTCTCGCTGTTACTCAGCGTTTCTTAGGCCCGAGCACACCACATGGCTCAAAGACTTATCGGCGCAACCTACAAAAATATTTGGGCGCAGTTCGCTTAGCGAGGGGCACATTTCGTTTGCATCGCCAATTTTTATATTAATGGGTGCGCACCTTTGTCTGTTTCTTATCTGTCGCGTAGACAATAGAAGTGCAGCACACTTCGGCTCGTTTTTCTCCTTTTCCAAAGAGATTTCCACTGTAACACACTGTCTGGACAGACTGCCCGAACCCAGCGATCTAAACATCACCAAAGTTCATTGAACAAATGAAATGACTGTAAGAGCTTCACCCTATCCAATTTCAAGATTATTCTGGCTCTTGAAACATGAAAATGTGACTCCCACCTTTAACGAATAGAATACGGTCATGGAATTTCACAGCAAGACGATCGAACAATTCCAAATTTTTCATAATGTTATCATCAGACTGACTTGTATAGGAGTATTTGTTGTTGTGACGATTGATCAACAATTTGATGGCCGGCTAGAATTGCAACAGAAATTAAAAAGTGGTTATTTTATGTCCCAATAAAATTCATCACTTCAAATGGGACGTATACTCATTGCATTTGTAGTGTTGTAAATAGCACAATACCTTAATAGAGTTGAGAACAAGACGATCAGCTTCAGCTTTTGTATGCACAACAGGAATGCTACATGTTGCCATCGGTTCCCGAACGTCGCGCCTCACTCTCAGTGTCTCTAACCATGACTGGCATTCGGCTGCCAATTCCTAAAAAAGTATCTCTGGCAAGGATTACTATATCCAAACACTAGTACACGAATAAGACCCTCCATCTTCTTCGACTGGACTCCGCATAACAAAAACCATGCCCACTCCAATACCCAAAATACGGCTATTTGGAACCTAACTGTAAGTCCTGCTTATTCCCTACAAAAGTCAGCCAGCGTCAGCCGCCTAGTTACGCGTCCTCGCCCCGAACATGACAAGATTCTACAGCGAGAATCTCAGAAAGATATAGTACAGCGATTGCCTGAGCATTGTATGGCGCCAAGTGACATGTATGGAAGCAAACGTGTCAAAAGGAGTAGATCTGAGATGGTGGGCCTTCATATTCCGTTTCAGGAAGTACATGGGCCAAATGGGACTTATACCGCTTTATGCTGCTCTCTATACCCGATGGGATTCAAAATAGATAACAGTCAATACTAAAATCGCACTTACCTGCACAAGATAATACCGGGCTTCAGCTAGAATTTGTTCGACCTCTACACGGCAATCAGGTAATGGTACAAATCCGTCACGAAGGAAATCCAGTATGATGCCAAAATGTCTTCCACTTCTATCGATTAACACCCAGCCATTGGAGTCAGTAACTACCTGGAAACACTTTGAATTAGCACCGCATTTGCACTATTCTCCACGCAGCATGGCAGCTCTGCATCTAGAATTGCTCTGAGAAAAGAAACTTGGTGATGTTTATTTATATAAAGACCTTTACTCGTTACAGTCACCTTCCTTATTGAAAGTGTCGAAAAATGACGAACGTTAAGGAAACAAGAAGATCAAGGGCGGTATACCTGCATTCGTCCACTGAACATCGCCCGTAACATCGTGTCATGTTTTGTAAGTGTGCCTACTGTTGTCTGGAAAAGAGCACCACCTACATTGATCTTGACGTAACGGTCCGCCAGAGCATCGGATCTGTAAACATAATAATCTGAAAAAGAACTGAAAATTAATCTTGGCAATATTATTTTGGTTCTTCCGACTCATCAACGAGGTCTCAGGAGCCCTTCGGCTTGGAAGGGGCATTTCGCCCTTTTGCTCGTTCATGTGAACTAAAACGTCTGTTTGGTGCAAACCTGTAAACTCTTGTGAAGCTGTGAAATGGTAAAAAAATATGCCGTTTTGCTTACAAGAATTCACAGACTTCAAAGTGTGCCCGTACAGGTTTCGCTGAGGATTGAGACTTTTGCTGCCCTACCAGCCGTATTTGCGCGCGGTCTAATACTGCATATAATGAAATTTAGGCACTATTTACCCCTTACTGCCCCAATCTTCCAAAAACAGCACAGCTAAAAACTTATTGCTGGGGTAGTTCGACTTTCTGCAGCAGAATATCACGTCGCTCATCACGACTCCGCGCCACAGGCGCCGACGCCAGAATATCCATCACCATACTCGCTGAAAACTTGCTTCCAGGGGTAGTCTACATCCTGACCACGAATATCACATCCGTTCGGCCCCAAAACCTCCTAGCGCCCGCGCCACAGGCGCGGCGCCAAAATAACCTAAATCACAGGCGCCTGTGGCGCGGGCGCCAGGAAGTTTAGGGCTAAGCGAATGCGATATTCGTATCCAGGAGCTCAAACAACCCTAGAACCCAACATTTGATCCAAATCTGTCTACGGAGAAAAAAAGTTGGTCAGAAAGTGGCCTGGATGGCTGGAGCAATAAAGGGCAAACAGTGTCGAAAAGTTCATATTTGTTCGTCGGACAGAAGTATGCACAATTGCTTTTTTTCGGAAATTTCAAAAAAGAACAAAGCAGACGCCAATGCAGCTGGGCCAAGGGAGAGGGGAGACCGTGGCGGGGCGACTAAATCTGCACTTTCTAAATTATTTGACTAAAACAGTCCCTGCTCAGCCTCTAGAAAGCGCAAACAACCAAAACCCGCCCGTGCGTTATACCCTCACTGAATGTCAAATACTCCAACCCCTCTCTCCCAACTTCAGTAGCGACAATTACACAAGAACCCACCACTTCGTGACAGTTCTTCGCGTCCGGACGCCATTCTTCAGCTTCTTTGAATGCAGGTGAACCTCCATTCCCCGACATATCTGAACTGCACATTTTCGAAGGCAAAATCTTTTTCACGGGCACATAATAGTGAAAGTTCTCTTTGAATAAAAAATAGTTTGGTTCGCTGCGCTGCCGGGTTGACAAGCCTGCCAAATCCCTTCTTCACTATTTCGTCGAACGGGTAGGTGACAAGAGGTGGTGAAAGGACGACTGATACGAACAATATGACAGTCCTGTCGCTCGCAGAAAGAAAAAAAAACGAAAGAAATGGGTTGGCGCCGCACCAAACGCAACCGCGCGGACACGCCCCATCATTCAGCGAACCAGACTATAAACAGGCCATCACAGTCATTTCAAAACTTCAAGCAACCAAAAATATCGTTCAGTGGTTTAGCAACCTCTTATCCAATCATTTAGTCTTGTCAATAGAACATTTATTTCACTTTTGACCGCGAGCGTTGTGGAAATTTCACGATCTCAACAACCATACATAACAACAACAATGATGCAACAACAACAAAACAGAAAACTGCTGAAGACGATCCACAGTTAATTAATAATAACTTTATACAGAAACAACTTTTCACGCAGCCGCCGTTCCAGTATATTTCGCTTTCTTCACAACTTTTTTCTTCTTCTTTTTCTTGTCGATCATCGATACGATTTTTTGCGCTTCTTCGTCCAGAGGTTCGTCCTTTATTTCGAACACCTTAAACGGACCACTAATATCAATCATCCAATATCAACATACAGTTGAGTTGATTGGGACTATAAGGAGTTTTGTAATCAAGGTAAGGCTTCCCGAGCCTACTATGTTACTCAAAACAGTACTTTTCAATTAGGCTAGACATCTTGGTGCAGCCCAT